AGGAGAACCTGGTCCAGGAGAACCTGGTCTCTGTGATGACAGGAGAACCTGGTCCAGGAGAACCTGGTCTCTGTGATGACAGGAGAACCTGGTCCCGGAGAACCTGGTCTCTGTGATGACAGGAGAACCTGGTCCCGGAGAACCTGGTCTCTGTGATGACAGGAGAACCTGGTCTCTGTGATGACAGGAGAACCTGGTCTCTGTGATGACAGGAGAACCTGGTCTCTGTGATGACAGGAGAACCTGGTCTCTGCCACTTTCCTGATTTCTCCACTCACACTAAGGATCTGGTCTCCCTTTCGAAGTTCCCCACTCAGGTCTGCTGGTCCTCCTGCCAGGATGAAGGAGATGAAGATTCCCTCTCCGTCTTCTCCTCCCACAATGTTAAAGCCGAGGCCCGTGGACCCTCGTTGCACGCAGATTCGACGAGGCTCCCGGGAATAGTCGTCCTCTCCCATCATGCCCCGGGAAATGGGAGAGTATCGTCGCGGGGATGGTGGAGGGAGGGCTTGTGGGTAATCACACATGTAGTCGGGTTCCATGTAGGCTGTGAGTGAAGGTGAGATTGCAAAACAATTTTAAAACGGTCAAAGTTTGCTGTGTGGTCATAGACCACTCACACTGGGGTCTGATGACAGTCACAGTTACACGATGTGGATCAAGACCCTCAAAACCTAGTTATAAGAACTTCAGCTGGAAACAGGCAAGAGGAGAAATGAGGAAATACTTTAAGACAGTAAAATTATTTCTTCAAGCTGTTGTTTTCATGACACTAACTTGCCGTCTCAAGTTTGACCTTTTAACCTTGGCTACTGAAACACTTGTTTACTGAGTTTTCTTTGGTTGTTGGGGGGTACATACAGCTGGTCAGGTCCGGGGGGCTGTAACGATCACCTGGGTGGATGTACTGGGAGGTTGGTGTGGCCACCTTCAGGTAGACGACTTCACCAGTATTTTTCAACGCCGACACAGCTTCCTCATGCAGGACATCCTCCAGGGACATGTGGTTCACCTGGTACAAGGTCAAAGTGGGTTAGACCAAAGGCCAGCGGGCCGGTCTTGACTCATTACCTGTGACTTCAGTTCACGTACCGCCAGGATTTTGTCCCCAATCTGCAGCCGCCCATCGCGGTGTGCTGCCCCGCCCTCAATGATCTTAGTTACATAGATGCTGTTGTCTCCAGGCACGTGTTGGTTTCCCACACCTCCTGCTATACTGAAGCCCAGACCTGGTTTATGATGTTTGAAATTAAATGGAAATTTATCTGCAGTAATACAAACGTACCATAGAGGGCAATATAGATTCATATAGACACATTTTTCTATATAGGGAATTATATGCAGTGGACTTTACAGTGGACTCATCATCAAGTGAAACAATACTTCAGTGCGCAGTCAGTTACGTCATTACTGTTGCACAATTAAAACTCTTCATCTTCTCGTACCTTTTGGTCCCTTCATCAGTTTGATTTGCGTGATGCGTTCACTTGGTGGGCGGCGCCGCAGCACGTACAGCCTCACAACAGGGCCCGCGTCCTTGAGGGCCTCCACAGCGGTGGAGTGCGTTACCTCACGCACATCCACGTCGTTGACAAATACGATGCTGTCATTTACCCTGTGCAGACACACACCAGACCTGTGTGGTTAACATCTGTCTGTGTGTGTGTGTGTGTGTGTGTTACTTTGGTTTGCTATGTTTGGCTAACGTTTTCTGTGTATTTCCTTATAGACCCAGGTGAATATGCCCAGAAGATAGTCACCCAAAGAAGCTACGCATGCTAAAAGCAATGCCAAACTTGACATGTATTTTGTTAGTAAAATCATATTGTCAATATAAATAATAAAATAAAATGTCAATAAATTTGACCTCTGGACTCATTTTTTTTTCTATTTCTTCTAATTCCTCTCATTTCTTCCAATTTGAAACATTAGCTCATTTATAGCTTCTAGTGTTTTTGAAATGCTAGTTACGTCTGTGTGAGTGAGTGGCCATTTACCTAAGGCGTCCATCCTGAGCTGCAGCTCCTCCGGGGATGATCTTGGTGATGAAGATGGATGGGTCGTCTCCGATGTGTGGGTTGTCTGTTCCTCCAGCAATACTGAAGCCCAGACCAGAATTACCCTACACACAAAAACACGTTGAAGGCTCATTGTTAAAGGTGGAGGAAGGATGTGAAACTTCTTATTGTTAGTAACATAACAGTTTTAGGTAAAGTAGTGTTAACAGTACAGGCTGAATTGTTGTGTTGACAAATACAGTTCTGTGTCTTGATGACTGTCTCTGTGTTGGACAACGCTAACTGTGTCAGGTTAAAGGACGTTAGCTGTGATTCTAACCATCTCCGATTTGAAAAATAGAAGTGAGAGTAACTCTGTGTGTGTGTGCATATATATGTGTACGTACGTGCATGAACATATGTGTGCGTGTGTGTGTCTCACCCTCTCAAGTGTGATCTCTTCGTACTCCAGTTCTCCCTCTGATCCATTCATCTGCATACAAACAAACAAACAAACAAACAAAAGGAGTTGAATTTCATTAGCATCACTGACCACTCATCCCCGTGGCAACACCATGGTAACAGCTGCTAAGCCCCAGAGGTAGCCAGTTACCATGACAACTGTGGCTGTCGCTATGGCGACCACCACTGTACATCTCTACCACTGTCTCTCCCTCTCACTTGCACACACACACACAGATACACCAACACCTATCTTTGTGCAGTCATGAGGACCACAGTTGATGACAAAATGTGAGGTGTATTTTTCTGTTCCTGAAATATTCCAGGCTGTTCACAAGTGCTCAACATTTCCTCCATCGGATGTGATGTTAAGTTAGACATTTAGCCTAACTTTAACAAAAAAGAAAGGCAAAAAGTAGCTAAAAGATGGAAACAAAGTTGGACAGAAATATACATGTTAAGTCAAAATAGCATTAAAAACTGACATTCTTTTCCGAACGCTGCCGTGGCCAGGATTTGAACCTGAAATTCTCCAATTACAACCTCATCTTGTAACCAATAGGCCACAGACTGGTCATGTACATTACATTATTCAATAGTAATAGATCATTTTAGACTATACTATTACTTTAAGTTGGTCCATTTAAAGCTAGAGGTTAGCCAAAAGTAGTTACAGTAACAATGAGAAGCAAACGCAAAATTAAATTACTCAACACGTCCAAGTGTAACTAAATGATGACCTGGACATCAATTACAGTTAGCCAAAACTACTACAACCACAACCATTTAACGTTACCAAGAGGACAGCTAAATGTACGACCAAACAGGGGTTAACGTTAGCCAGAATACAAGTCAAAGTGATTTTTTTCAAGGGCAACATTTATCATTATGTGTCGATAAAATAGCCAGAACATACTCATGATGAGAGTGTGAAAACACAACTCTGTCCCACAACACACACTCATTATGCCAAGTACAGTGCCTGAAGAGTGTTACATCACTTCCTGTGAAAGAAGGGGAGATTCAACCTAGTTATATAACAGAAAGGGAGAGAGAGAGAGAGAGAGAGAGAGAGAGGGGGGGGGGAGGAGACAGAGAGAGTAACAGTTCACAATGAATTAATTAAACCTCTTCTCAGTTCCCTCGACATCTCTCGTTCTCCACGCTCCCTTTCTCCCTCCCTCTCTCTCTCTCCTCATCACTCTGTGCCTAAGTCTCTCAGCCACAGCGACTGCGGATCGACAGCACTGGGATAAAAACCTCTGAAGCAGAGTGAAAGGTGAAAAACAGTCAAAGCTAATGCTAACAAAGTTTAGGTCACATTCACCACCAGGCTGTGCACTAATATTAGATAACAGAGTTAGCCAAAAACGGCTAGGTGTGCATATAAGGTGTAGGTGAGGATGCTAACTCAAATTTCTAACCCCCCTCCAATCAGCTGTCATACATAGCCATATTCATTTTTAAAGGTATATCAAGAATATCAGTCTGAAAAAGGTTACCGTTGCTAACATCATTGGTAGGGCGCTAAACAACTATGCTAATTATTACTGGTTACCAGTACTATTTTTGTAGGTAGTCCGATGCTTACAGAGGTAGTTAATAATGCTAACTCTTGGATTATTTATTAATAATGCTAACTTTTGCAGACAAGGTAGTACAATCATTATCATCACAGGAAGATAATGATTGTTCTAGCAAAGCTTTAAGAAAAATGCTAACTCTCTAAGGTAGAACAATGCCAACTGTGCTACAATAATTAGTAATAATTTAAACTTTCATGTTACAAGTAGAAGAATTCCAGTCAAAGATGTTAATAGCAGAAAAGTGCCCAATGAACGAAGGAGAAAAAATGTTAACACAACGAGACAAATGACCTGCTCCTCCTGCTCGTTTCTCACAACATCTTTGGTAATCCTTACTTTCAAAGGTACTAATGTTTTGAGTAAATATTGACGCTATACCTACGTAGTGGAACTCTGCTAACCACATGGCTTAGACAATGGAGTAGATACCATTCACCATCCAAAGTAGCACAAGCTTATTGTCCCAGATAGTTAATAGTGTTTGCAAAAGTCGTTGGCAGCTAATGAGGCGCCTGTGAAATAAAATGGATTATTATTAATATTATTAAGTTCTAACGTAGAACTATGAAAACTATACTATAAAGGCAGTTAGCAACACTATTTTAACAGGTAGGACTCTTGTGATGCTAACCCTCCACAGTAAAGCTTTGCGAAATGTGTAAACTTGTAAACAGCAGCACCACCTAAAGGTTCATTTTTGTAACCTGGCCAAATCTCTCAGCGCCAGTAGGTCAGGCCTAACTATTTCAGTTTGTTAACAACACTTACTATCCCAGATCACACCATGCTAATTGCTATCTCAGGTGTTTAAAGATCCCACCTTTCCTGGTCCGACAGTGCTTACTGTTCCAGATTGCTAACAATGCTAATCCTTCAAGAAAGAATGATGCTAAATGTATCAGACTGTTAAGATGCCAACGTTCTGGGATGGAAGAATGCCTACTGACTCAGCTGGCTGAATTCTCTTACCCTCTCTCGTAGTCGGGTAATATTCACTTCAACGTAGAACTCCCTTTAAAGTTTCAGGTTGTCAAAGCTAAAAATCAGGTCTAGCTATGTTGCTAAATGTCCAGGTAGAATATGATGAGGTTAGCCCCACCTCCTTACAGAATTAACCCCACTCTCTGCAGAGCCAATCAGGTGCAGGTGTCCTACCATCATGCGCTGCCTGTGCCTCTTGGCCCTGCGCACATTGTTGATGAATCTGCGTCCCATCTTCTTGGCGTACCACACTGACACGAACATCACTCCTGCAGCTCTTATGTAAGAAAAAAACCCCACTGAGGATGAAAAATTAACGAGCAAGCACGCACATGCTCGGTGCTCAGGTCAGCCGAGCTGAGCCTTGAACATCAGCCCCCAGTACATCACTCCGCCATCTGGAGAAGGACTGGAGACTAAAAGGACCAGACAAGTCCTGTGGACCGAGTAAAATCCAGAGAGCGACAGATTCTCTGGGAAAGGAGGAAAAAGAGAGAGAGAGGCTGTTCATTACTGCCAACCACCTCCGCTCTCTCTCTCTCTCTCTCTCTCACTCTCTCTCTGTCCCTCTCTCCTGCTCCCTCTGTGTCCATCAACCTCGCTCTACCCCTCTCTGAAGGAATCCCCTCCCCTATGTGATGTCACTTGGCCAGTGGTGGTAGACGAGAGAGGAAAAGGTAGTGAGAGAGAGAGAAAGGGAGAGAGAAACAGAGGGAATGTGTGTGTATGTGTGTGTGAGAGAGAAAATAATTCAACAAAGACACGCACACATGCACATACCTACACATACACACACCAACATCTAACTGAAACCGTTACCATGGAAACACTCCCCCTTGCCATTGCTGCCACCCCCCAACCAGAAATTTCCCCGTTGCCATGGTAATGGCTGGGGCACAGAGTGGGCACAAGCAACCCACACACTCTGTATGTGTGCATTTGTGTGTGTGTGTGTGTGTGTGTCTATGTGAGAGAGTGGATGTGTGTGTGTTTTTCAGGACCTTCCAGGTCCATCAAGGACCTGAAAATGTCCACTGTGCTGAAAACACAGAATCAGTTAAAAGCACCTCTCTGACTGATTGGTGTTGAAGCCACCAGGGTTACATGCTGATGTGTGTGCATATGCAGCGACGCAGCCCTCTCTCCCTATTTTCACTTTTTCTGTTGGAAATGCTTTATTCCGGAGGAAGACTGAAACAGTAGGTGGCAGCAAAGTGGCTGAAACACTGCAGAGCCAGGGCTGAAACACTATTTATTAAATACACTAAGTAGTTTGAGAATGTCGGACAGCATTAGTTATGAACATTAAACCTCTGACGAAATGTAAGGACATTATCGAGATAGTACACTGCTAGGCACGTGGCATTTTGTGAATGGCTGCAGTGGATGCTCATCCACTGTGGTAGATTCTGTAAACAATAAAATACTAAATACTAGTGACTGTCTTATGTCTATGAAGATTCTCAGTCATCCAGGTCATGGTCAAGTTTAAAAAGTTCTGTTAGGCAACTGGAAACTAGAAAATTCACGTCCAGTTGCCTAACAGAACTAAATACTGTGTGGGTGTGTGTGTGTGTGTGTGTGTGTGCACCTACAGTGAGTGCGCCTGCGTGTGTGTATCCGTCCAAGTGTGCGTGGCTGAGGTCCGTGGTGTGTCCGTGGGTCATAGAGCCTGGGCTAGGGTTGACAGACGGAGTCTCATCATCCTGGTAACGATACTTCTGCAGACACAGAAATGGCCCTTGTGTTAGCATTAGTTGTGCTACAACAACTAGCATTAGCATTTTTAGCCTCTGCTCTGATGATGCACGCTGTATCAGCATTGTTAGTATGAGCAGCCTGGCATATTCAAACATCAGCATTGTTAGCACCAACTATGTAAACAAGGGCCCTGTTATCAATTCCTGAGTTAGCATTTGCACCACCACTATCTGGGAGCATTAGCTCTGCCCACAGCTAACCTTAGTGCCATTACCATCAGCATCAGCTCATTCACTAGGTGAAATAAGCGTTGTAGCATCAGGTCAGTTACAGCCTCTTCCGTTAGCATGTTGCCTTAGTGTCAGTTAGCATTAGCATTGATAGCATTTGTTGTAGTTGCATTAACTAAGTGAAGATTAACATTGGTACTGTTTATATGAACTCTGTGTGCATTGCGTGACATCATCTTACCCCTACACCCACTAACTCACACCCCATTGACACACACACACACCTACATAGACACACACGCATCAAGGTGACCTAGAGTGAGAGTATGAAAGTGAAGGGGGAAAACAGTGAATGGGAGATAGAGATGGTAATGTGGTTGCCATAGTAACGTGATGTTCATGAGAGCCTGCGTTTCCGAGGCAACTGACATCATTGGAAGGAGGCGGGATAAACCTCTGATATGTTAGTGTAAGAAAGAGAGTGAGGGGGTGGGGGGTCGACCTCTGACCCATGGTCATCAGAGGTTACATAAGGTCATCATGTCAGTGTTCAACCTTGATAAGAAGAGAACACTTGGAAAACAGTTGTTTTTTCGTTAATGAAAAGTTCTTCTCATCGCCTTAGTCCTTTAACACCAAGAGTTTTTTACGTTTTAGAAACTACAGCACACCAGGAGCCAAATACCAGAGAATACGCCAAACCACAGATAGACCTGCAGCAAAGTGAGGCTAAACTATGAGAAAAACAGACCAAAGCAGCGTGAGTTCCAGAGAACTACCAACACCATGGTCAGAGCTGGGAAACATCCACAGCAACACAAATAACCCATAATACAGATGAACCACCTGAAGGGCTTTCATAAAAACACATCATCCATCGGAGCAGGAAACACACTGTAGCAAATCTGGAAAAACTCACCACAAAGTGCTTTGAACTTATGACTATCATACATTATCACACAGTGCATGACACCAGAAGGAAAACATCAGGGAAGTGAGGAGCCTGGAGAAAACACACCAAAGCAGTGTAAAAAAAAGAAATACACCAGGTGAAGAATAAGCTCCAGGGAATAGTTTACTTCACACCAGGAAGTACACCGGGCCAGGACTAAAAACACAATCAGGGTAAAAACAGTAGACAGAACCAGGCAGGGCAAATACTGAGCTAGAGCTACGGTTTAACAACACTCTGAAAATACAACAACAGATCCTAGTACACCAGGAAATACACACCTCCATCACTACAATACTGAATCAAAGCTAAATACTGTATTATATACATTAAGGCACTCCTGGAATATTCTTTAATGAATAAGATTTAGAAGGTTTGATTGTTTTCACACACACACACACACAAACAGTTGACAGAAATAGATTTTCTATCTTTAGCTCAATCAGCTCTAAAAATGGTTTCATGAAAAACGGTCAGATCAGAATCAGGTCCAGAACTCTTTAAACAGATGAGCCACGCTTTATCTGTCAAAGAAGAAATATTTGGCCTCATTCTGCTGGAGAGCCTGCACGGTTTTAATAGTAACAGTCAAAGAAGAAGAAGAAGAAGAAGCAACAGAAGCAGAAGAAGAAGAAGAAGAAGAAGCAGCAGAAGCAGAAGAGAAGCAGAAGCTAGGTTTTGCTCAACCTGAGTTTCAGGAATCCTCTGATCACAAACTTGATCTTCAACCACTAGGCCACAGGCAGCACCAGATGTTCTCTGGAGATCATGAACCTTGACCCCACATGCTAAGTGAGCTCTCTACTATTTAGGCAAATCATTTATTGACAAAGAAAGTTTATGATTAGCCATAAGACAAAATCGACTTTTGAGGAACCTGAGACTGTGCAGCCAAACATCCAGCTAGGCTATGTTAGGAAGTCGGGCTTGTATTTAACTTAAAACCTAACATGAACAACTGCATTATTTTTCTGTCTTTACCTCATCTTCATCATTTCTGTTGTTGACTTGTAAGTCATTTTTCATCTTTGAGCTGAACCACAGCTTGAAGTGATCCGCTGGTTTCAGGAGTGATTCCGTATGATTCCATGGTTCTTTTTTTCTGTGGCACCACTGGTGTGGTTGACCGTTGTCATGACATCGTTGACTGTTGCCAACAACTTGACACGGTGACTTATCCTTGGCTGAGGCTTATACTTATACTCTGGACAATATTATTCACTTTCTCTTCTGGTCAACAAGTAATTGTGATTTCAAAAACACCAAATCTGAACTGCAGTGACTGCAGCTACGGCCCTTTCTCATGTACTGTCTATGTGTGAACCATAATAGACAGTATTCACATAAATTTCACAAAATCTGGTGAAATCTCAAATTCCTCTCACGAAGCTAACTTACCACATCTACGTAACGCCAGTGTCGGCCTGGCGGCGGAGCCTCTCTGAGGACCAGAAAACCCCTCTTGTTCTGGGCCCTGACACGACACGAAGTGACGCTGCAATTTAGCCAATCAACATGTGACCTGTTGATTCATGCTGATGTCACGTTCAAGGCACACAGTCATGTGTCGAGTCCAGTGTGAGTGTGTGTGTGTGTGTGTGTGTGTAAGTGTCCATTTCCACACGTGCTGAGCTCAACATCCTGCTCCGCTAACTGTTGCCCCGCAATGCTACTATGAGCATGCTAGCCAAGCTACCCGTTTGTACAACAGTGATAAATTAACACATGCCCGGCGAAGAAAACACGAACCAACACCAAAACACAAACACAAAAATGAACGTAGCTCGGCTCATAAGAACACAGGTACACACACGTGGTTTACGAGGACACGCACGGGACCTCATTAAGACTGTGTGTGTGTGTGTGTGTGTGTGTGTGTGCTCTGCTCTTACCTTGGTGGTGACAATGCAGAGGCAGTCCATATCCACACACACACACACTCACACACACTCACACACACACATTGCTACACACACTCTCACACTCATACTTGATATCTCTCACTCTCTCTCGCTCTCTTCCTCTCTCTCTCTTTCACACACACACACACACTCCCTCTCTCTTATCGCTCTCTCTCTCTCTATATCTCTTTGTCTCCCCCCTCTCCCTCTCTTTCTCTCACTCTCTCTCTCTCCTCTTTCATCTATCTGTCTATCCTCTCTCACTCGCCCGCTCTCTTGCCTTTTCTACTCCTGCGACTGTCAGTGCTGAATGAGAGAGAGAGGGAGAGAGGGGGAGAGAGAGGAGGGAGCAAGCAGGCAGTGCAGCAGGAGAGTGCGGGAGATAAAGATGATGAAGAAGAAGAAGAAGAAGAAGACCAGTGCTGTTTTTCGAGGGGGGGGGGCGCCTCCTCAATTCACTGTGGTTAATGACAAAAAGACAAGGTAGAGAAAGGTGGGAAAAGTGAGAGAGCTCGAGCGAGCATGAGGTGGGGGTTGGGCTCATGTTGCCATGGTTTTATGCAGCTGTTGCTCTGGTGATGCTGCAGCAGCTGTTGCTAGGTAACAGCGCTGGGTGTTGTCATGTAGATTATAGAGACAGTGGGAAAAAAAGTATGTGTGTGTACCACACGTGTGTGTGTGTGTGTGTTTATACCTGTACAGGTGTGTGTGCTCGGCTCTCCTTCTCTTGGGTCTCACACACTGTCAGCTCATAGAACTCCTGGATGTCTGCATTAGGAAGAAGCACAGGAATGATACTGTACCCAACTAAATACACCCGGGGTTACACAACAACAGGAGTAAATCATATAAAGGTTTCACAAATAAAACCAACTGACAGGAAAACATTTTTTATCCATTGCATATCTCCCATTGTAAGTATTTCCTAGTGTTTTATACTCAACCTAACTGTTAATTGTTGGCTTAAGGCACCCGTGTCAAACTTAAGGCTCGGGGGCCAAATGTGGCCCGCAGGAGCTTAAAAAGCATTTAGTAAAGTCCATGGAGCAGAGTTTCTTAACCTATGAATTTTTTTTTTTTTAATTACACAGCAATGAACAATATTTGTAGCTTGAATAAATAATAATCAGCTGCAGAGACATGTGTTAGTCTGTTATGGAGTAGTTACTTCTATACCAGTGGTCTCCAACCAAGGACTGGTCAGTCAGTACCACCTGTTACTACAGACTGGTACCAAGGTGCTGAGCATTGAAGGATCATTACATTTTCAAAATAAAACGACTCTTAGACTCTGTTCAGTTTGTATCAGAGTCTGAATTACATGTTATTCTAAAATGTTCCCAGATTATCTCTAAATAATTGAAGTAAATGGATATGACTGGACTTTCTGTGAATGAAACAGTACCAAATCACCTATGGACTGGTACTGGTCCGCGGACCGGGGGTTGGTGACCCCTGATCTATACAGTCTTCCATTTACAACCGGCCCTTCAAGGGGAACTGTGTTGTTGATGTGGCCCCTGGTGAAAATGAGTTTGACACCGCTGGCTTAAGGGATAAAGTTGTGTTTAGCTTGTCTGACGTGGTGCTATGAATGTGTGTGTGTGTGTGTTTGTGTGTGTGCTACCAAGCAGGGCCTGGAACAGGTCACTCTGGAAGACATTGAGGAGTTTTTCTGCTCGACCTTTGACTCCTTCAGCAGCTTCAGTCTGACAGACCTCCATGACCTGCAGAGCTCGTTCAGTATCTGAGCAGAGACACCACAAGCTCGACTCAACGCTACAATCACAACTATTATTAACACTTATAATGAAGAGACAGCCACTCTTTCGTTCAACACTTCTTTTTCGCCCTCTGCTGGAGTTTCATTAAAATGCAGGCGGTGCGATAATTAGTTAATTGTAAGTCAGGTTAGCAAAAGAATGTGTATGTCACGGTAGAAAAAAAAGAAATAAAATATATTTATAAATATTTATAACAAAATGTAGCCCATAAGTAGCTTAGGTTTAGTCTGAAATTTGTTTTCAACCTATAACAAAAATGAGCCTAAAATTATAAATAGTTTACAGTAAGACACAGGATTCTAAAAATTAGTCAAAAATAGATTTTAGTTAAGTATATACCATAGTGTGGTTATATGGTCTGGTAGAGAAGTAAGGAGGGAAGAAGGTGGTGGAATTCTACAATGATTCTGAAAAGATACACAAAAAGATATCTGGGGAAATGCTAAAGGTTTTGAAATAGCCAAAAGAATTAATAGATGGTTACAACCACATCTTAACATTAGCAGACACATATCCAGTAAAAAAAAAGGTTCTTGAAAAACTATAAGTTTAACACAAAAAGTCCAAAGTTAGCCAAAAAAGAAGCTAAAAGTTAGCTTGAAGCAAATAAACACCACCTAAAATAGCACTGTCGTGTTGACGTCATGGCAGTGGAAATATTACAAAATGATGCAAAATGATTTGACTTTTTAAAAAAAAAATTATCACGTCAAAAACACCTTACATACAATGACATAGAACATACAGAGATTTAGCCACATAAAGCAAGGACCTGGCCTCAGTGAGGTCACTCATACCTGTGCCCACGACATAAAAATAAAACACACGCACACACACAAACACACACACGGCGATATCATGATAAAAGAACGTGTCTCACCTTCTCTTTTTAGCGGCATCTCGTCTCTCACTCTGATCCACATTAATCCTCTTTGAGGGTTTTAGACACACAGACAACTCAGCATGCTGGGTAATGAAGTTCTAATCTCACCATTGCTATCAACCCCTGGAGGTTGTACGGTTAAGATCCGTAGTTACTGTCAGTCCTAGTTTGACTGACAGGTATATTAAAGTCAAATGTTTTCGAAGTCAATTTAGAAATTCATCATCGCTGAATTTAAATGGAAAAATAAAAAATAAGAAAAATGCCACAGCGAAAAAAATAGATATCTGACAAAAGAAAAAAGGAAATGTTTTCGAAATAAAATAATAAAATAAAAACAGCCGAAATAAAATAATAATAAAAAAAAAAACAGTTTTAAGATTGTTAGAAGTTGATTTTATCTGGTGCAGTACTGTCTTCCGGGCCCTTGATGGCGCTGCTCAGAATCAATGAACAATGGTGTGCCGTCCGACACCCTCAAACGGAATGGCATGTGTCCCTTTCAAAATAAAATAGCTACAGTAACATCTTGTTTCTGTTAGCAAATCACTGCAGTTTTTCAATGAATAATAATTATTATAATAATATCGAAACAGGCTACATGACTTCAAAATTCTTGCACCGGAAAAGGTTTGTTTGCACACCAGAAAATAGCCTATTGCATTCCCAAGTGTGAAATTGTCAGTACAGGAGTTAGTTCGTAAGGACCTTGCAACTCTGCTCGAAAGTGGTCACGGTTATGTTTTGTCCAAGAGAGTGGATTTATGCGTCAAGATGAGAAGGTGCCCTTACTCACATCGATTCCGTTACTGTGCACACCTTTAAAACCTAAACTTAAAACGTTGTCTTTTATATTTATAAAAGCCTACAATAAGAAGAACTAAATAGAGTGAGACAAAAATATTAGAATTATTACAACTAGAAAATGCAGTTGCAGTATGTTGTAGCTAATATGCAGGACATAAAAATCAGAAGAGAAAATTGTAAAGGTGTAAGTAAATGTCCATTCTCACTTTCAGACCACAACGCCGTCACCGACGTTTTATTGTGAAGGGACTCTGCGGAGGTGATTTCTCCACATCAGCTTGACGCTCGGGCCCAGTCAAAACAAAGCAGGGGAGCTTTGGAACTTCCACCACAGGGAGTGGGGGTCCACCGCAACCATTGTCTCCGCCAGATTATTTACTTTTGTTTTATTTATTTCGGTCCAGTTGAGTCCCGTCGTTACGTTGTTCCCGCCGCCGACTATGATCGCCTGTTCACCCGATGTTATGTTGACGGTGTCGGCGGCTGGAAA